AGTGTTAGATAGTGGTAACTGAATAAGGTATCCTTAATATGCTGCAAGGATAGTTGTTGGAAGTTGTTGGAACAGAAGAATAGAAACAAAATTAAAAGTTAAAATATAAACCAGTCCATATCACCAGATTGTGCAGTTAATGATTTACAAAGTAAGTAAATGAGTAGTATTTATTTTCCAGAAATCTGCAGCTTAATATCTTAATTTTTTAGAACTGTTTTTTAGGATGTATTTGAGTAGTTTCTAATGATATTAAATATCTTCCTGGCAGTAAAATTATGAAGAATATTTTTGTGGTGAAGCATCTCAGCTTTTTAAGAATAGGGTTATCTTGTGAGTGTAGACAGATAAAGTAGTAGGTATGTTTTATCCTGTGTCTCCTTTTATGTGTACCTCTATAATTATTCTTTAAATAGTTATTAAAGTTACATATATATAAGAGGGCAGGGAAGCCTTAAACTGCAATTCTGAAAGGAATATAAACAGGCTCCTGACTGGGAGTTCAGTAACTAAACATTCCAATCAAGAAAACTGTTGAGCTGTCCACATGCTTGCTTTACTTATCTTTCTTGACGAAAACTGTGAAGTAACAAATAGGAAAATTAGGATTGGGCTTTTTTCTTCAAAACAGAACTTCATGAGCATTCTTGTGGCGCTCCCCTTGTATAACAAGTCTGAAGACATCAGACAAATTATGTATGCATTCTAATTAAACCTTTGCGCTTGAAGATTACTTGCTGAATGTTCCACATTTATTAAGGCAATGTACTTTTAATTGAGTAAACTCCAGTATCACTCAGCTGAAGACAAACTACTAATGCACTGTGTTAAAGCCTGAGAGAAAATCGTGGAAGGCAGTGCCAGTTTTCATAATCATTTACTGTACTTTATAGCATAATTTTCACCTTCTATTCCAGAAATGATTCAAACCAGCATGCCTGTAAAGAACCTGAAATAACTCAAGAATACAATGGCTTTTTTGATGGTATAGTGCTGAAAAAAGCGAAGTTTTAAAATTCAGTAATTACAATAACAAAAATGAATAAATTTAACTGTTATTAAATATGTATCTCTATACTACTGCTTCTCCTTCTTCAAGCACCAGTTCAACAGTGAGATTGTCCTGGATGTAATCACAATTGTTTAGTGTTGCTAGGCAATAGCAATTCTTGATATCTATGTGCTGTTAAGGTCTAAGGTTGATGCTATCATAGTGGAGCTTGCTGTGGAAAATATATATGGTTAGAAAAAAATGGACTGCTACTTTGTTGTGATATAGTGATCCATAGAAGAGGTTATAATATCTTGTTAAAAGCTAAGGTTGAAGTATGCATATGGCATGTTTAGGTGTCATTCTAGTGTTAACTGGGTGCTAAGATGAGTATTGAATAGGGTCTTGAATTTTATAAGACCATGAAGCTGGAAGAATTGGCCCTGTGTCCTAGGAAGTAATGTTATGTTCACATCTAAGATGATAATTGTCAATATAATTGCTCTTCCCCTCTTTGGAAGACCTTTAACAACCTCTGCTCTGTGCCCTTCCGGGACGTTTTTTTGTTTTGTGGCAAGTAGCTCACCCTTAATACCAATTTCCTGGTGAATTGAGAAGAGTTTGAAATTTTTGCAGATGTTGATCATTCACAGAAACGGATTTTAGACCTTCCACCTCCTCTTCAAGTGAAAGGAATTGTGGAAGTAATTATAGCCTGCAAACTTAATTATTAGAACCCTGTGACGATGTTTCATGTAGCTAAAAGTGTTAGGAGGTAAGGAACAGCAAATGGTATGTCATTACCATCAACCTCTCCCAAACAATTTTAAGAAATAATTAAAAGGCCAGTGTTTCTGCTGCTCTTCTGGCAAACTATGATGAAGATTTGCTTTTCCAGCTTCCAAGGGGTAGCTCAGAAGACACTGAAAAATTGGAAGAAATACAAATGCTAGAAACTGCAATCAGCTAAAGGTAAATTAACAGGTCGAGACCAAATTGCTTCTTGTCAGGTGAAAGGATTCTGGTAAATTGCGGAAGAGGGAAGTCCTTGATTTGATGAGAGAGTAGACTTGAAAAGCAGGTTCTAATGTGATTTTTAAATCGATACCAGAAACAAGTTCACTGTTTTCTTGGTAGAAGGAATCCTTTTTAAATCTGTCAGAAGGAAGTTTCGTCTACTAAGTTTTCTATGAAATAAAGAAGCTTGTGTTGCATGTTGTGTTTTTTAAAATAGTTTGAACAACTGCATCACAAGGTGAAAGAAGCACAAGCCTAGCAGTCCTACACTGTGTACAGCAAGTGTCTGATCTCTTAGAAAACAATTGTTACTTGTAACATAAATTTATTTTCATAGCCCTATCTCACTGGTTCTCTGTACTCAGGAGAATACATTCATAAGTCTAACGTTCCTAGTAACACATTGGCAGTGAGCTCTGTTAAGATGGCAGTGACATTATTACGTGAGAATGAGGCACAGGATAACTTGAGCACAAGTGCAACTGCGAATTACCTGTCTTTTTGTTCAGGAAAAACAGCTGCTGAAACAAGGGTCCAAAGTGACCAATTAATGTAGAGCTGAAATGTGTTTTGTCAGCGTGGCCCTTAGACATGACAGTGCTTGGCAGGGAGAGTCTTCTACTGCTAGTTTGAAAACCAAATCTTGCTGGTCTAGAATACAATTACAGTACATGCATTCAAACAAATGTTTGTTTTCTTTACTTCTTTCCATAAAGTAAACATAACCAGAGGAAACATCATTGTATTATGTGAATTCAGTACATGTTTAAGATGGTCCCAGAATCATGGTCTCGTTTACCACAAGTCTATACTGACTATCCAGTTCTTACTGCACGTCTATAGTGAACCCTTCTTGATCCTTGTCATTTGATGATAATTGATTTAAAATATTTTTTAATAAAGAAAAATACATGCTGCTGAAGTCTAGGACTAGTTTTAGGTTGTTTTCAGTTGAGCATTAAGGTGTTATTAAAAATCAGACATAGGCAAAAAAAACGTTTCTTTATACTTCCTAGGAGTCCTACCTCTCAGTTACTCAGACAAAATCACTATTATCCCTTCTATATTCAAGATTGTTTATGTATTCTTCTGAAGTAGAGTAGTGAAGAACAGCATTACAGTGGGCACCCTGCATGTTAGAACTCAGTAGCCATTTCAGTAGCCAGTAGAACATTTCAGATATAATAGCAAAAGAGCTATTCAATGACAGCTCAATGTTGGAAGCTCCCATTTCACCTCATTTTATGTGATTAATGTGTGTTCTGCCATCAGTAGTAGCAGGTAAAGAGTGGTAATTAAAGTAAAGAGAAAGAAAACGCAGGAAAAAAGCTACAGGCATTGTAATACATATTAAAGAGGTTTTAAACACCAGCTGTACTGCTGAAGAGGACATTGTCAAGACAGTTCGTGGGTGTTTTATCAGTCCAGTTTTAATGCACAAACCACATAATCATAACCTTGTGATTTCTGTCTTTCAAATATCTCTGGAAAAGAAACAACAGAAAGGTACTACAAAGTCTACAGGTTATGAATAACAATGATTACCTATAATGTCTTTTTTTTGTAGTGAAAATTTGCAGAACTTCAAAGGGTTCTTTCCTTACACATTTTTCGTCATGTATTCAGAGCACACAGACAACAAATAGCCTAGAATCTGAGATGTAACATGACAGAGTACTATCTTGAAATGCAATGGTACATTATTAATGGTCAAAACCACGAAAAGAAAAGTGTTAGGTCTTTTAAATAAAAAAATGATGGTAAGCATTTTATCTGGTTTCTGGTTCAGCACCATATGCACCTCAGTCAATTGTGATAATAAATAGAAAGATGGAGTCCCACTCTACTGTGCTGCAAATGACTGTTTTTTTTCACTTGCCTAATTTGAAATTTGATGTCCTTGTCTTTATTTTTAAATTAGTGTTTTTTTTTATTACACCAAAACTCTGTCATGCTATATCCATTGTATTTAGTTAACCACAATTGTGCTCAGTACAGGTAAATAAAGTCATGCATTAAAATTGAGTCTACATAAAGTATCACTAAATTATTCAATGGAACAATTAAGGTTACAAAGCAATTTTGTGTACTCAGTTTCATTCTTCAGCGGTACAAAACATAACCTTCTGAAATCTTGGTGTTTACTTGAAAACACCGTAAAAAGCTTTAAGTATTGTCAAAGATGACAAGCATTACTTAGAATAAAAGGTGCCTCAGTCTCTGTTCTAACATGCTATCCTGCAGTGCTAAATATACACAACCTAGTGTGTTTTAACTGCAAAGGCCAATTCAAGTTAGTTAAAAGCATTTTCCTCTGACTTTGAAGACCACTTCAACTAGGATAAAGCACACAAAAATAAATAACCTAAGGTATAACAGAACAACAACTAGAGATGAGAGATTTTTCATTTTGCCATCTCGTGCTGTCAAATTCATAAAGGCACAAAAGACAAAATCACCCAAAGAAAAATAAACACAATAATTGCTGTAGTGTTCAAAATATTTTCTTTCTGTACCTCTGTAATCCTATCTAAATGTGAAGCTTTTCTCTGTATCTTTTTTTTAATGCACTGTAGCCTTGTGCTTTTACAGGTTAGTCTGAGGTGCATTCAGGCAGCTCTATTTTTATCCCCGACAATCAAGTGTATTTTCACTCAACATAAAGACTGTCACCCTGTGCATTGTTCTAATGGGCTGAAAGCTGCATGGGCAGTGGTCAAATTGTGCTTCAATTCCGAATTCCATGAAAGACCTGCATTACAAAACTTCTGATGCTGCTGCACAATTTTCAGATGGAAAAAGTTTATATCACAATCAGACTCTTCTATGTAGAAGACTGAAACGTGCTAAAAATAAAACAGTTAAGAGAGTCAATGTGTTTATTTTCAGTTTTGGTGTTTTTTAATGTGTGTTTTTTTTGCTATTTAGTCTCTTGTTCTTCTACAGATGCTTACATCTTTTTTTCCCATCTCTGTTTTATTCTGTGTGTCAGTAATCAGCAAGCCTTTCTTTTGGAGAATGTTCCATGCAACAACGCCAGCTGTAAGGACGTGGGACGAATGTTCAGGGTCTTTTGGGACCTCTCTGACCTGAGTCACATTACCAGTGCTGTGGTGGCAACCTTCTTTGACATTTATGAAGACGTGAGTGCCACTCTTTTTGCTGTGCCTTGTTTTTCTGATTGTTTTTATCTTTCGTTATTTAAAGCCTAACAGGAAATCATTGTTAAAAGTGTGGAAATCCATGTATGAATCCTGGTTTAAGCTTTGCAATTAATTAATTTCTTGGATGGTAGTTGATCAAGCAGTGGCAAATAAGTAGAGCTATCGCATTCAAATACTTTAAGATTAAAAAAACTGCAGGAATTGATTATAAGGAACCTGTACCTAAGGGGGTTATTAAGAGTACATTTAATGCAAACTAGTAATCATTGTATTATAAAGAATAAAGGGTGTTATGTTGTTAGAAAGGAGGTAATTATTGTGGATTACCTCTGTAAACATATATGATTAGATGTAAGAGGCTGGTGGCCTAGAGGAATGCCCTTCCATATAGAATTCTTTGGGTTTTTTTTTTAAATTAACATTGCTGAAAACTTTTAATATTATTATCTTATCAGGGGGAAATAAAAATAGTTAATAAAGTATAAATGCTCTATAAGCACAAATGCAGTTTGCAGCAGATTATACTTGCAATATTTTCTCATAATACCTCTTACCTAAGACATCTGATGCTCTGCAGGACACAATTAGTTCAAGATGGTCCATGACTGTCTTATAATTAAGTGACAGTGCATTAGAGGAAAAGCAGAACCTTGGGTCCCCAGAGGGATGGTGTAATCTCATAGCTTCTCTCCCTCTTAATACTTTTTCATGTTTAAAGGCGTTTTGACAGTATGTTGGAGGTGGGGAAGCAGAAGTGGTCAGTGGCCAGTAGACTACCAGAGAAATAACAAAGGCACAATAGTATTATATAATGTTGTGCCATGCTCTCTAAATTAGACTTCAAGTGATCCCAAATGTGAAACAAGTAGCTATTTTGTCCTGCCACTACAGTACACATAGACATAGAACCCAGTAAATAACTTCTGCAGATCTAAACAGGAGGATCAAGGGAAATCTGTTTCAGTCTTCATCTGCCAGTAGAGGTCACTGTGTCACAAAGATCAATTAATCTTATGGTTTTTCCTTCACTATGTCATAGTAATAGGCCTAGATTCCCTTTGGTCTGTAACCATAGCCAAGCTTGGAAAGTTAACCAGCTCAGCCTCAGGAATGTCAAGTGACATAAATATTTACAAGGTAATGTGCTGATGTGAGGATAATGATCTGTGGGTGTATATATCTTGTATGTATATGTGTGGTGGTGGCAGGTTTGGTGTAATAAAATTTGTCTGGGCATTTATATCATTAAAACGTCAGAGTTCACTGCTTTTTTTCTGTTTTATAAAACATCTAATGGTGTTGTGAAAGTCTTGCACAATAAAAAAAACAATCACACTAGGTCTTTTTATAGCACTTGAAGAAGGTAATATACCAATCACTGTAGGTCTTTTTATAGCACTTGAAGAAGGTAAAATACAGCAATAAAAAGCTGCTTATCCTCGTTTTGTAACAGATTTAATCAAATTTATCATTACAGGGAATATTAGATATGATCGTGCTCAGCAAAGGAGGAGCAAAAAATGAACTAGCAATCCATGCTTTGAAAAACAACTTTGAGGCTGATGCCTATTTTGTAAAAGTGATTGGTAAGTTATTTTATTTTACTAGTTTCAAATGAAATTGAATTTTAACTGAAGATGTTAGAAATAGGAAAGTTAGATTAAAAATCATACTTTTGATTAAACCAGGTGAGGTGTACAAAAAAACAGTCAATATTGCTGTGTATTTAATATTATGTTTTTTTCCTCCAATCTCTTATTGTCTTTTTCAAGTTAACCACTCTAAACTTTTAGTGAGAAATTGTCCATCGACCATTGACTATAACCATGTAGTGTTTTATTTATTTATTCACTTGAATAAGATGAAGTTGCCATGCAGCTGTCAGATATTGACATACAGTTGTTATTGTGAACCTCATCTGTATTATTTGAAATTATGTTTTAAAGGCTTGATTGATTTTCTTATTCAAAATATTAATTAAAATGTGTATTAACTTTATATAAATTCTGAGCATGGAAGCTCTGCTGAATCTTGTGGTGGTTGTTTCTTTGTTTTAAGGAAAGAAATGGAGTGTGAAGATATATATAGAATAATGTTAAAATTGATAATGCTGACATTTTGAAATAGCAAATTGTCAACAAATAGCTTTAGTGCCCTTTAATCTGTGGCTCCAAGGTTTTAATTAAAGATGAACCAACATGTATTTTCACAGTGACAGGAGTCTTGCTTTGCTGCTTGGTTTTTGTCCATGTTGTAATCAGACCTGGGATCCTGTCAGGTTCAATGACTATAGACAATTGCTTCAAACTACAGATTAGCCATGTCTACAGGTCTACAATTAATTCTTTTTTGTTGTGTTAAATGTTTTTTTTATTCAAAAGATTACATAAATAATGCAGCAGTTTTTCAAAATTAAATAGTACTTTTTTCCTTGATTTTTCTTTTCTGTTTTCAGTGCAAATACAAGTAGTGGGTTTCCGAATGATGATGTGTGCAAATCACTAGCTACTCTCGAGTGAAAAGGAGGAACAGCAAAATTTATGGCAGATTTGCATCTGCTCCCCTGCCAGGAGGACTATGCTGATTGCTACATTATATGATGAAGTTGTCAAGCATCAGTAGAGAAAAAAATACACTTCCCTGAAGCTCATTGTGTTAGAAAAAAAAAATGCTTCAGTGCTTCTAATGCCTGCAGAGCAAAAATGTATATGATAGCATTTGTAAGTGCAAAGGGAAAACTGAGTTGATACCAAACCCTGTTTGGGCTCTAGGGATAATGCTTTGCAAATTTACATTTGGACAGTTGAGTTCAGCTTTCAAAAAGGTCTGAGCTTTCTTGTGCAACACTTTACCTAATGACTGTTTAACAAGGTAGGCACTTGAATCAGTATTTCGGACTCACCAATAAGAATTCATAAAAACATGGGACATGTTGCAAATGACAAGAGATAATCTAGCCCAGTTTATTTGGTAGCTGATTTGCTTCATCAGTATAAAATATTATCCAGCCATTTCTTAAGAGAGTTTGGGACTCAACCCTTTAGCTGGGAAGCCTCTTTTAGATATCCACAACACAATGTGTAAATCAAGGTTTTTTATACTTCAGCCTACTTTAATTCACTTTTATTTGCCAATTGTAACCTCATGTCCCCCTTTTAAAACTGAGTGTGACATAGTTCCTTTATTGACTAACTATAGTACTTCTCTCTGTCTAATCCTCTCAGCCTCTTTTCTTCTAGTTTTCAGATACCAGGATCAACTCATATTCTTATTTGAGCTCTTTTTAAGGATATAATATCCTTGTTTGTGGTATGCTCACTAGAACTGAGCACAGTATTCTGAATGGCGACTATTTACTAGTATAGTATAAAACGCGGGAACAATTTGCCTTGGTTTTACTCTTTGTTTACTCTTTCTGTCATATAAGCAAATATTCTGTTTGCTCCGCACAATATGTCCTCATTAAGACTACTGTAGTTGAATCTCTTCTTAAACACCCAGATCCTTTTCATGCATATCATCCTGCAATACAGTACGTCCCTACTAGCTGTGTAGCTTCAAAAATCCGTTGGTACTTATATTAAATTTCATTTGTCAAGAGTCTGTCCACTCCATGATGCTGTCATCTTGTAATTTCTATTTCTGTGTTTGCTGCTTCCCTTATTTTTTTTAGAACATCTGCAAATTTAATTAGTTATCCAAATCAAAATCATTGTTTTTTGACCTGTAGATCAGGAAGAGCAAAGGACCTAAAATGGGTCTCTCCGGGCTGCTTCGAATCTGCCCAATTAGTGGCAGTGCCCTTTAGATGACACAGTTGTCTAGTGTTCATTTAACCAAGTCTTATCTTAGATACCTATGTCTTCTAAGAATGAAGCTTTTATAGGGGACCTTATCCAATGCTTTCTGGAAATCTAAATGTGTCATGTAATATGTTTTTTGTGGGGGGGGTCCTTGTTGCTTCTTTGAAAATTTGTAAGATCCTTCCTTTCTAAATCCTTGTTCTTAAAATGTTTTTGGTTTTTTAAGTACTCTTCTAATATAGCTTTAACTGTGGTTTCCATAACTTCACCATTAAGAGAACTAAGATGGACTTGCCTATACTTAATTTGCAATCCTTCAGTCTGAGATTAAAAATATTTTAGCATGGGATCTCTGAAGAACATCCCTCATTACTTTAAGTATGAAGAATGGAAAAATGTCATCAGGCTTAGGCATGTTATTGTTTTTTAAGATACCACTTGAGCCCCTGTAGATCTGTAGATTAAGTTACACTAAAATTACCCTGCTGGAGCATGTTATTGACTAAATTAAATTTTCTTAAAAAGCGAAATTTGTATGTCCTGAAAAAAAACTCTTAAAAGCTACCCAAGTTAAATTTAGTTTTTTTACCTATAAATGCTGTATAAATTACCTATAAATAATCAAACTTAATATTTTCTAAAAATATTAAGTGGAGGTTAAGCCTTAGTACAATCAGAAACTGCCATAGATATCTGGATAACTTAGATGAGAATACTTATGATAGCAAGAAACTTTCTTTAACTGTGTCTACAACTTTATTTAATCACAAGGTTTTACATGCTTGAAGCATCTTAAAGATTTTGCTGAAAGGATAAAAGAAACAGATGTTTCTAGGGGTATTACAGGGGTTGAAGAGACTGAAATGAGAATGTAATTGCTAGTCTTTGACAGCTCTCACTTGACTTCTTTTCTTCAAGGACAGCAGGCGATTTCCGCCAGCATTAGTTCCCAAACTGTTATCGAACAATCAGCTTTAATATTGACTTTACGTCTAGGTTTTTTAGAGGATGACATTATAAAAGATAGGTTTCTGGATGTCAGAAAGATTGAACTAATTGCAGCATTCAGCACTAATTCAAGTCATGGCTTCATCATTTGAAATACACACTCATTTGCCTGCTGTGCTGGCGTCATGTTGGCGTTTTATAGCAATTAATCTGAGAAATCAGTATCTTGTGGCAATTAATTAAAATAGCTCCTCTTATTTTTGTCTATTACTGTAGCTAAATTCTTTGTTTTACTGTGCTACTGGCACCCTTTATTGAGCTGTAAAATGTATTCTAATCACTCCCTCTTTTAGATTTTTGTTGATCCAAATTGACATTTAATTTAGAGGAGTTAATAAACTGAAAATTGATTAGGGGCAATATGTCACAAAAACCTTATTAAGAAGCTACCCATTGCTATGAGGGTAAGAGACAGACCATTAACTCAGCATGTGGGTCCCAAGCTATTACATAACCTATGGCTATTGTATTTGTAGACTTGCAGTGTGATTGTATGCTAATGGCAAGAATGTTAATCTGTCATGCATAATATGTTGATCAAGGTTTAATTGGTTTTATTTTTTGTCCAGGTTTCTTTTTAAGCATTTTCCAGTAAACTGCCTTTTATTTAAATGTGTTAATTGTTCTCTTCCAAGAAAATTTTTAAACCTGAGCATTGGCCCAGGTGTCTCTGATGTTCATTTCACAATTATATATTCATATGTACACAGAAACCCATTCCATTATATGTTATATGTGGATCTATATTTTTATATATAAAGGGAGAATGTGGTATTAATGTTGAGGTTGCGGTGTTGTCAGTGACAGCTGCATGACTAGCACCTGTCTAGGCACTCCAGGTCTTGCAGTGTGAAAATTCTCAGCTTCGCCGACAATAGCCTGTGCCACAGGAAAACACGCAGGAGCCCCATCCCTGTCCTGCTGGTCCTAGCGCTACATACAAGTTAATGGGCAAAATCGAAATTCCTTTTAAAAATGTCCTTTGTGAATCCAAGTTTAATTATTAAGGAATAAGTCATGAAAAGAAAATGTTAGTGTATTTTAAGAAATCAGCACTGTTTTTTTTTTGTATGACACATGATGTGTCATTTTAAAAAGCCTGTTGGTAAGGTGTGTTTCTTTTTAAACTCTAAAAAGTAGCTGAATGACAGAGATTCAATGATTTTGAAAGAAAATCTTTGTGTGATCTGGTCGATTTCTTTCAGCAAAGCTAAATACCACTCAGTGAATTAATGCCCTCCCTCCTCCTTTGGGAGATTATATGGTCAGATTCTGAAACCCTTATGGTATTCTGAAATTATGGTATATGAAACTACAAATTAAAATTGTTTTTCTTTATGTTGCCTTGTTCACATGTTACCAACAACAGTGGCTTGCAAATGTGTTGAAAGTCTGTTACATTGATGTTATGCATGTCAGGATAAAGCTCTCTGGTACATCTAATGCCCTCTTACATCCATTCTGTCCTTTCACGTTGAGCTGCAGCATCACATGATTTACAGACTAACCACTGACTCATTCTCATTATATTGGTTTATTTTAATACAGGCCACTGTGGTTGCTGTATAGTTATCAGGTGCTGAGATACTGTAGTATGATACTATGGCACAGCCATGTTATATTAAAATTGGAAGTACATTTTAAAGATAACACTATTCACATCTTCCCAGTAGACACAGTAGAACTAAGACACTCATTTCCAACCAGATTTTTGATGGTTTCAAGTTCAACTATTTGTAAAGAACCAACATATCACGGTGTTTAATTAAACAACA